TCGTTTGTGGGTCATAGCGTCGCAAACATGGAGCAAAATAAAGAGAAAATACGGCATATTTTACAGTAGTACTACGATAAAGGCAAAAATGCATGTCAAGCCGCCAATAAAATTTGTACAGTTTATGAACCCGATACATTTTCCATTTCCACCGCACAACGATGTTTTCAACGTTTTCGTTCTGGTGTAGAGGTGGTCGAAGATGCGACACGCTCCGGAAGGCCTGTCGTCGAAAATTGCGATAAAATCGCTGAATTGGTCGAAAGAGACCGGCATAGTATCAGCCGTAACATCGGTCAAGAACTGGGCATGAGCCATCAAAAAACTAAATTTTATGAATTGAAAATTCAATAAAAATACCGCAAGACTATTATTAATTGTTTCTTGATTTGTGTACTAGAAAGTGAAAAAATGGTCGGGTTCCGAAAAGCGATTTCACTAAAAAGTGGTCGGATCCATTTTCACACCGTCGTTAGAAGTTCTTTTGATATTTTGCGTTAGCGAATGTGGTTATTGAAGCTTTAGTTGTTTATTAGATATGAATACTAAACTTATTAGAGAGCGGGGTCTCGCCCACTTATTCAAAATTTTTAGCCCACAGATGTCCTTTGCTACTGCCATCGAAGTGCTAAATTAGAGTTTATATTAATTTACTGCTTAGTTATAGCACTTTATACATTTTTGGTTAATGGCATTTTGTAGGTGTGGCAATGGTCCGATTATGCAAATCCACAAAATCGTAAGTTTCTTTACCAAAGAAAACATCAAAATATATCAATTTTTACTCAAAATACAGGTTTCATGCAAGGACGGTCAGACAGAGAGTCACCCGGATTTAAAATTTTTATCGAAATTTGAAATTTTTTGTAAAAAAGTCTGTCAAGAATATAAATTTCCCTTTTTTTGGTTCAATAGCTAGTTTATGGCCTTAGTTTAAACCCGTATTTTTTTCTTTCTTCGGCATATGAACCTGTAAGAAGTTCTGTTGTCAACGGGGAGGCATCTTTTTAGATAGGGACTGCTGGAAATGACGTCGTATTATGAAAAAAATAAAATTATTGAAAATATGCYGTTTTTGCTCGACGTACATGGCTTAAAGATGAATAACTTACTCCTCTCTAAATTACTCCTAAATCACCTAAAACGCAAAATAACGTAACAACATTTTCAGAAATTTACAGGGGAGCGAATGAAACACGTAATAAAATGGAGCGTGCGTGTAATGGAATTTAAATATTGGTTGAAACTGGGTTATATGTGATCATACGTTATTTTGCATTTTAGGTGACGATAGACCTCTGAAGTCTTCGATTTTAATAATTTCAAATCTCATGGTTCAAAAACACCCCTTTAATTATCTTACTTGATTTCTAAGCTTAAATTTGCTACACTCCTTTTTATATGCTCTTCATACTTACAAATAAGATATTAAAGACCATACACTTTCTTCCGAAAATGTCTCCGTAAAAATGTTGACAATTCGTTTTTAAAGGGGAATTATCTGTTTCCTCATGATTCACCGCCATAGTAGTGACCACTTCGTCCAGCACATCCTCTATAACATTTTCACTTTCGATTTGCTCTGGCGCAGCAGTAACGCCAACATTCGTACTACTTCTCGAAAGCACCGATTTAAATGGATCGTAGAGTTGAGCGAAAAGATAGACCAAATAAACGACGAGTAACGATTTGGCATGCCATTCCAACTTTAAATCTGCTCGCTCGTCTTTGGGCAGAATATCATTCTTAGTTTTAAAACTTATTAAGTTATATACGTAAATATTTCCAAGCAAGATCACTAACAGACTGACGATGCAATGAAATGGCGAGACATGCAAATTCTTTTGAATTGCGATCAATCCCAATCCCAGAATATACATAGTAAACGTCTTGCTTCCCAATTCCGTGAGAAAAAGAGAGTATATCTCTTTTGGTGAGTTACAAATGATTGAACTTTTAAATAAATTCGGCAAGATGAATAGAGTTGAGACAATAAGGATGCCACAGTGGTAAGGTTTAATTGTAGACCAGTTACACAAGGTAAGCACATTTGGTAAAATACTGCAAACATAATTTAGAAAGTATTAAGTGGCCTTTTGTATGGACATGGGTACTTACAACCACCTGGTCATTACGAACACGGAGAATATGAAAAACAAGAGCAAGACGAGGGAACATACGATATATCCGGCTTCGCCAAACCAAGTTAAATTGTCGATCTGCATTGTACAAACGGCGAACTCCAAATAGTTGATGAGTTTCGTATCGAAATTGCAGTGATGATTGTGGCGAATGAGTTGACAGTGAGCGCCAGGATCTATATTTAAGCCTATTGGTCGAAAGCAGCTGATCTATAGAGGTTTAAAAGTTAATAGGCGACTAATAGGTGTTTATATATGTACATATAAAAAAATTACCTCTATTTCACTTGTCACGTACTGCTTGTGTCTGCGCGTCCGTGTGTGTAATTTGAAATTCGTAGCATTTTTTATTAGCAAATAGTTAGAAGAATTACTCATGATTTCTAAGTATGTATAAATGAGTGTTTTAGCGCAATTGATCAAATAATAAGTTTCAATAATTTAAAACAAATGACAAATTTATATAAAGTCAGTACATATCAAAACAAATGAACAAATATGTGCACATATGCATACATACACGAATTTCCTTCAAAATAGAACCTCAAAAATTATTTTATAGTTTTGAGCATAGTATATTGAACAAGGTGTGTTCCAAAGTAAACAGGAAGTTAACAAAAAAAAAACAAAAAAAAAACAACAGAACAAATAGTTTTTCGGCAAAATCAATTTATTTTATTCCAAATTGTATCCTTCTGCTTCAATATAGCTTTTTGCACGGTCCAAAAGCATGTCGAACAACGAGTGTTTTAGCTCGTTGGCCGTTATGGCCGCCAGTATCCCGGTGCAAGCCTTTTGAATGACCTATACGTCTGCATAACGCTTGCCTTTCATGGGCAAATGCCTTTTTCCGAAAAGGAAGAAGTCGCACTGTGCCATATCAGGTGAATACAGAGAGTCGTAATGGTTAAAATGTGATTTTTGGTCAAATAATAAGTCACAAGCGTTTTGGAGATGTTCAATTCCATTTCCTTGAATTCCAATGACGATTTCGGCTAATTTTTGATGAAGTCACGCACAGTTCGATGGGATTTCTGGTGCTCGCTTTTGATTGGCCCGCATGCTAATCGTCATTTATGCCCTCACGACCACTTTGAAAACGTTGAAACCACTCGTGCAGTCTACTACGGGATAGGCAGTCATCGCCAAAACCTTGTTTCATCAATTGAAACGTTTCGGTAAAAGTTTTACCAATTTTTAAACAAAATTTAATGTTGGCTCTTTGTTCGAAGCTCGTAACACAAACATACTGACACTTAAAACGCAATAACTTCACTTTCAATCTATGAAATGTCAAGAAATTCTCATTGGACAATCGATAAAGATAGCAGATTCTAACGAATCAGTCGACGAAAAGATTCCAAAAGTCCTGTTTACTTTGGAACGACCTTGTATATTTATTAAAGCGGGATTATCGAGACTTTAGACGTTAGATATTCCTACAGGAAAAAGTCTAACGGTGTGATATCACACGAACTTGGTGCCAATCTACAGGCCCAAAACATGAAATCCTCTTCTCTCCAAAGTGTTTTCTCAATAAATCCATCAATTGATGTTGTTGAAATCAAATGTCGCCGAAAATTTAATTACAGGCATCAAATAGTTAGTTGTCGTGCTCTACACATACCCTTTGAGCTAGAAATCGACCTCATCGCTGAAAAAAAATAGTGTCTTTTTATAGCTTTTCTAGAGCCTATAGAGCGAAGTGATGTCACTTGGGAAGTTCCATCTGAATCTTTCATTTTCCAGAGTGCAAATCAAGCACCGATGAATACACTTTTCAAGTCCGACAAGTTTTTTATCGCAAATATCGGACAACCTGTGAGATATGTATATTAAAGAAAGAAATTTGGACGGAGTCGTTTTCTAATAATAATGGGCAATACAGTAGGGGTACTTTATTTAATAACCTTTTTTGGATAGATCATGCATGAATCGTGTCAAGCAGTCACGTTAAGACTTACATACGTCTGAAATCGTTTTTAAGTCGTTCAACTTCATTACGAAAATTCAAGTTCTATTCGTTCAACTTGCGGTCTACATAATCGGCCTACTGAACATACTATTAGCAACACTATGACCCATCTTTAGACCCAGCATTCATCATTGGATAATATTCGGCCAAATATATCACTTCTAGCACGCAGTGAAGAAAATAAAGGAGCCGTAACTGAGAGTGTACACGAAGACCGTGGAGAGTGGATGGAACGACTTGTGCGAGAACTGAAGCCGCTCAACATTTTCGGGACAAATTTTGTTCAACGATGAGGCCTATTTTTGTCTCAATTGGTATGTAAACAAGCAAAAATTTCGAATTTGTAACCAAGAGAAACCTGAAAAAAACTCAGTAGCTGTCATTTCATCCCGCAAAAAAAAGGTTTGGTGTAGTGGTAGAATCATCGGTCTATATTTCTTCAAAAAGTATGCCGGTGAGAATGTAAGACGTAGACTTTCTTGTGTGGAGATATGCAAAGTCAAAAGTCTATTCGGCCAATCCCGCTTCGGTTCATACCTTGGAGCAAAATATCACGCATATCATTCGGCAGTTATCTGTCGAAATGCTCGAACGAGTCATCGAAAATTATGTTCAACGGAAGGACCATCTGAGTTGTAGCCACGGCCAACATTTGAAAGTGATAATCTTCAAAAAATAACTGCCAAATAATGCTCTTTCGAATGATAATAGACATTCCCCATTAAATTTGAAGTCTATAAATTTTTTCTTTAAAAAAGTAGAGAATATTGAAATAGTTAACGTTTATAAACTGAACTTTAAAAAAATATATATATTTTTGTTAATTATGATTCAAAGCATTCATCTTTTTTTTTTTTTTTCAAACCGTATGAAGATGTGCAAGAACGATCGGAATTCATACGTCAAATTTAATTAAGAGTACTGATAGAAGATATTATGTAAATATTTAGTATTTTCTATCTAAACACATTGAATCAGCTTTATAATAAATACGACAAAGTTCAATTGTGACCTCCCCTCTGCCACAACGAATCACATAGGCCCAGCACAGTAATAAATTCCTGTATCCTGCTGGGAATTGGAGCGATTTGATCCGAGTGCCATTATCCTCGATCTACAGACTGCTGTACAGTCTGGTATCAGGAACTCAGGAGTTTCCGGCTTCTTGTCCCTGAACCGGCAGTTTGCGCAAGAGGCTATACCCATGTAGGCTTCCCGAGCCTACAGTGTTAAGTCGAAAATTTCACAAGTAGCCGGAACTCGGTTCAGACGCTGCGATATACCAACCCATACCTAGTGAAAATATTATTGAGTCTTTTAAACAGGGGAGGCTAAAATTATAATCCCTCTACGGTGATTAGAAGAAATTGATTCGTCGTGAATAGAAATTAATTAACAAAACGAATTTAATTTATATGTTGGTAGGTATGTTAGTATGTATATATACAGCTCAAACTTCACATGGGCTACGATGAAAGTGGTGAGGGTAACTCAGTTACTAAAACATTAGTTCATAGTCAGTAGGGTTTTCCGTTTCTATAATCAAATTGGTTTGCTTTCACGTTTCTACTATAAGATCGTATTGTAAAGTCCAAACTAATTGTTGTTGTACATACTCATTCATACCTGCCTACCTTTGATGCATTCAATGTTGCACAGTAAGCTATTGTTGAACTACCTCTCTCATTGTCCAGGTACCTTTAGGTGCTGATTAAAATAAGAAAAATCACTGCTTTTGTCACGATGCTAAGCAGGCAGCGAGCAAAGTAAACGCACCATGTATTGGAAGATAGTCAAACAATTGGTGTCTTGAACGCAGCGAAGAGATGTCAAAGAGCAGCGAGAGTAAGAGTTGTGTAAAGAAGTCAATGGAAATGAGTAGGAGCGGGCTGGCTTCTAACTTCTTATACATTATGCTCCCCACAGACTATGCTAGTATGTATGACGAGTATCACCAGATCTACTGAGTAGCAGTCTACTTTAAGTCGTCGGTGAGCAAGGCTCATATTATATGGCCGTGTTTGGCAAAGAAATTACATTTCAAGTGGAAATTGCGCTTTTCTTTGTTAATATTTATCATAATTGGAGTAGAATTTCATTAATTTATTTACAAAAGTTGTGCAATTTTTTATTGTGTGAGTGCCTGCACCGTTGCACCTGGCATTTCGTGGAATTTTTCGCAAGAGTTCAACTTCAATAATACTTGTGCGTGTCTGGTTCGTCACGGCTGCTCCCATAGAGTCATTGTTACGACTTGGGAACACGTTCGAAAGCCAGTAAAATAAATTGTTGTGTGGTTTTAATGAAAGGGTCAAACCGGTTTAATGCCACAATGGACGCAAACAACCGTGTGGGAGCAACGTAAGATCAACAAACATTTCAGAATTGGAGTATTGAGTGCAGGAGTGCAATGAAATTATAATTACGTGTACACAACGCATATGTAAGAATTGTGAATTTGTGTTCTTATGAAAGTTATGTGGTGAATACATAAGTGTGTTTCTTTTAGCTTTGTCAATTGAAGCGAGATATTCGGTCGCTAATTATAGGATATGAGTGTGATAACCAAAATCACCTATAGTACAAAACATGGCTTCTAATGATTTAAATACAAGCTCAGCGAATCAACAACACCGACCAATCGATGAATTGGATTTGGAGTTGCGACAACATGCATCCACCAGTCATTCTTATCCGTCGAATTTCGTAAACGCATCCAATCATCACCTCTCCAGTGGCAGCTTGGCAGAAAATAGCGCATCCTCAGTGGGCACGCAGCAGCATCAATACCATTACATACAGTATCCGCCGTATTACTATCACATAGGTGGACAGGCGTATCGATCGCAGCAGCAACAGCAACAACAACAGGCACAATTTTTGCATGCGCAACAACTGACTGGACTGCCGGAAGTCACCTGTCACTGTCACTGCTCGTGCGGTGCCCAGCAGCAACACCAACAATTGTGGAATCAAAGACAATATCAGCAGCAAAATATTTCGGCTTCCACGGCTACGATCGCCCAGCGGCAAAATGAGGAGGACTCCAGTAAAATTGTGGTGCAGGTGCACTGTCAATCAAATGATGACGCGGATTGTGAACGCGAACGCAACACGCAGCCACCCACCAAAGCGCAGTCGGAGCAATCATTATTAAATCACTCATATCAAACATTGCAACTGCAATCGGGTACGGAAGAGAAACCATTGAATGTGCTGCATAACTCCCAGTTAAATATCAGCTGTGATTGTGATTTGGAATGTACTTGTGGCGCGGAAAGGCTGCGGGGGACCGCCGGCGAAGCGGACGCCATGCATACTAAAACGGCTGCGAGCGATGACAATTTGGACACAGATGTTTTAGATAATCCATCGCCATTAAAAACCCTAAAGCAATGCCAGTTGGAAGCCATGCTAGGTGCTGA